CCCTAATAATGTCTTAATATAACAATGTTTCATAATGTAATGTTTTATATAGTGATAATTTTTAAAGTTTTCTTTCAATTTTCAAAATTCTTTATCAGTAATGACATCCTAACATTCAGTCTGATACAGTGGGATGCATGAAACATATGTCGTTGTTGGCTTTAGTACTGCTATGGTTTTGTGCCCTACGAACACAGAAATTCTGGTATATTGTACATTTCCAGTCAGAAAGAAAAATAATGTAGGAGTTTATAATTGTATATGCTGCCTTGTTGAGTATATTTCTGAGAGGAGAGAATTTCTATTTTAACTAGGATTTGATGAGGACCCAATCCTTTTCCTACAATTTTACACGCTAAGTATATTAGTTTTCTACTGTTGCATAATAAATTACGACAAACATAGTGATTGGGAACAACACACATTTATCTCACAGTTTCTGAATGTGTGGAGTCCAGGCATGAGACTGGGTGTTGGGCAAGAATTCTGCTCAGGGTGTCAGTGAGCTGTAAGTAGGATGTTGGCCAGGCTGTGTTCTTCTCTGGAGGCTTGACTAAGGAAGAATCCACTTGCAGGCTTATACAGGTTGTTGGCATAATTCATTTCTTTGCATCTGTTGTGACTGAGGGCTGCAGCTTCTTACTGGGTGTCCAACGGAGGCTACCCTCAGGTTCTAGAGGTGACCCACAATTCCCTGCCATGTACCCTCTGCAAAGGTAGCTCACAACATAGCTGTTTGCTTCTTCAAGGGCAGCAGGAGAATTTCTGACTCCAATCAGCTAAGATGGAGTCTTATATAATAAAATATAAGTCACGGGAGTGACATCCCATTGCCTTATTATGTAACTTAATCAAAGGATTGGCTTCCCATTATCTTTGCCATAGGAAAAGCATGGTTGGAAGCAAGTCACATGTTCCGTCTTGCTCATAGAGGGGATTATATATGGGTGTGACTTACTGGGAATCACTTCAGGGTATATATGCTAAGAAATGAAAGAGTTCCCATAGACAAGCTTCTGTATATTTTATACTCTGATTTCCCCTCCACTACCCATGTAGTTCTGTGGCCATAAGGCTAGACTCATCTATATCATGATGTGACCTCTGGCCCTGCACTTTCCTGTCACTCTGCCAGGTGAGTCAGTATAGGAGTAACAGTATTTTATCTGGTACTATGCTTAGAAGCTTACTGTCCTGGTTAGCAGTGATTTAACCACACATAAAAGTGACCAAGAACCACTTAGTATCTCTCTAGATTCAACGTAAATATATCCCTAATTCAAGTTCCCCTTGACCAGATCCCAGAGGTATCCTTGGCCGTTCCAATACTACCTCATCTGAGCAGGGAAGTGTGGCAGAGGGCAAGTAAAAGTGGAAAGAGCTAGTCTTAACTAACTGCAATTATAATATCCTATTTTGTGAATTTTGTAAAAACATAACCAGAAGACTTCTTTTCCCAGGCCTCGGGAGTGGCCTGAATGAGGAGCTTTGAAGTTGAGTTTTCTTAGCTCTGTGAGAAATCCCCTCCAGGTTGCCACATGTTTAATTATTAACTTATTTGACAACTACTCTCTGGATCTGAAGTGCTAGCCAGAATTTTAAAAATCTATGCAAACTTCTTACCCAATGGACTAATCATAAAAATGGACAAACAAAAAACAGAGAACAAGAATTCTCAAGAAAGTCAGTAATTGGGCCTAAACTATACTATGCCCTCTCTGCATCAGATGAAGATTCCAACCACTAGAGTTTTACAGTGTTCGGATTTAGACTGTGAAAACAGTAAAATCGGTTCCTTTCTCTGAGGGATACACTTATTGTGCAATTTACTGTGTTCCAAGAACTGATCTGGTCATTATGCTTTGTATTTAAATTGTGTGCTATTTAAACTCTGTGGTCTACATAGTCTTAATTTTATTTTGGTTATGGCAGGTACTGCTGGCTTCTGACCCTCAAAACATTCCCTTAGGCTCTCACAAAAAAGAAAAAAAGAGAGAAAAAAAGAACTTTTATATTTATTCATATATATATATATGTATATAGTTATTTATTTATTTTTATAAAATTTTTTTTTTGTTACCTGGTGAATTAAATGTTCAAGGAAATTGAGTGCTGCTCTCCAGAAGATAAAACACCCCCTTAAGGTATTTGGGGTAATCCCTTTATCCTTTGCGAGTGATTAGTTTATGAGTGGTCATGTGCTCCAATTGTTGCCCAGTTTCAGAGGAAGTGCTGAGGGGTCTGGGAAAGAGAGATGCAGGGTGAGAAGCCACCTTTTCCTTCTGCCTTTGAGACTTCTTGTTGGTGACAACTAACTTCTAATCACTAAAATAAAGCCTAGTGGAAGCAGAGAAAATGACTCAAAGCTCTGAATTAACCAACTCTGCATGCTTACTTCTGGAATTACTATAACATAAAAACATGCTACCTGTAGTGTGCCATTTCTATTAATTACAGCAGAAAGCATTCTAACAGAAAAAGTGATGCAAAAAATAAAACTCATACAAACATACACATACATATAATATTTATTGTACTTTTCTCTCATTATGAAAGTAATATATGTTCATTTTGGAAATTTGGAATACAGGTATTCACAAAAAAGAAAATGAAAAAAAAAACCACTCAGAGATAACTATATCAACACTTTTTGCATATATTCTACTGTTCCTATGCATGCACTTTATATATTATGTAATTTTAAAAATTAGACTAATTGTTTTAAACCTAATTTTTAAACTTAAAAACCGTAAGAATTAAATTGAAGATTTAACTCAATTAATCTTAATTAAAGATTAAACTGAACCTTATTTTATTTAGCATCTTATGGACACAATATATAGTAATTAGACAAGCTCAAGGAATTGGTTAAACATTTGAAACTAGGCTAAAAGTAAAATAGATAAAATTCTAAATATATTTTAAATGCTCACAAATATTATCATTTTATGACTACCAAGTAAGTTCTGAGACCAGGACAGTTAAAAAAATTCCTAATATATTTACAGATTTCAGCTCCTTGGAAAATAATGTTTGTGGTACCCCAGTAGTTTGTTTGTTTATTTGTTTTAAGCTAACGATATCTGTGTTTTGTAGGCTGAAGTTGAATTTGTGCAATCTTTGTTTAATTCATTGTTGCTTGTCTATTTCATTTATTACTAAGTTGAATTGTAAGAGGAAATCCATTTTTTGACCACTTTTATATGCTAAATAGAGGAGGCAGCCACAATAGAATATTAATTATCTGATATATCCTTTTTTACAAGGAATCCTCATCTTTTATTATGATGGGAAATAGAGCAAATGACTATAATATCAAATATTAAGTACCCTCTTTTGAGTTGCATTCACACATACGTTTTGGATTATGAATTTTGGTTTAAATTCATTTCCATGTTATAATTTATGGATCACAATATTTATATAATATTATACTTATTTCTGCAAAGATTTTTATTACATGTTGAACCTTGAGAGAGTTTCTAAGTTTGAAAATGGTGAGTAATCCAGTTTCAATATTAATATTTTAATGTATATATAAATAAATGAATACACTGATACTTTTTAATTTTCAAAAACTTCTTTGTAAATATAAAAATCAATTGGGAATTCTTAACCTGTTTTGTGACATGGGCTCCTTTCGCAGTCTGTTTTGGCCTAAAAACCTCTCTCAGGTTAATGTTTTTAAGCATATAAATAATATAAATAGGAATAAAAGAAAAGCACTTGCATTGAAATACTGTTTTCTGTATGGATCATGGGTGAAAATCCCCTGCATCAAGATTTTGAATAGCCCTTTAGTTAATGTATTTAAAAATGCCTGAGAACATGTCTAAGTAAAACGTATCTTGAACATATAAAATCCAAGCTGACATGTATTCATTAAACATATATTTACTAAAGCCCTTGGATTGTATCTTGTATATTTTTGCCTCTAAATCCATATATAAGAATTGTTACTAGTTAGGAGTAAGTATATGTATGATAAAGATATGTGGAGAAGGTTGGTTTTCTTATTTATATTCCTGTGTCATCCAGCAGAACTAGCATACACACATTTAAATTTAACTTTAAGCATTTTAGCATGTTACAGATTTTGAGTCTTGCTCAACTCAACTGTAGATTGGGGCATAGATTGGTTAATTAAATGTATGAGTTTAGTGAAAAAGAAGATATGAATGAAAGAGTAGAAGGAAGGAGTTCAATGGTGATAGAAACAGGACCAATGGAGACAGAATTGGAAACTAATCTAGGATGTGGAAAAAAAACCAAACACAACACTAGAAAACTGGAAGTATGAGAAAAGAAAAGCAAAGAAAGGAAAGACCTACTATTAGTCTAATTAGTAACTTACTTTCCACAGTTCCACATGGCCTGGAATATGTGGAAATTACATTTCATATTTTGTGTGGTACTTGGTATCTCATGTGAATATAATAATATTTTACCTATTTTTTAAAAAAGAAGTTAAACAGTGGTTGAATTTCTTGTAAGTCCCTTGTGAGACTTTCTCATTTAATGGATATTTTAGAACCCTTTCACCCTAACCCCCTTTCCATGCGATGGCTTGAAACAGAAGCCTGAATTAAAAGAGATACTGTGTCGATGTTTTGTGGAAACCATGTCACTAAATGTAAATATCAACAGGTGTTAGTTACACACTTTTAGAGAACTTGTCTTTTCCTCTTTCTAATATTCTTCTGTTTCTTTTGACTCCTATATATTAAAACTGTGGTTTTCAGAGTTCATTTTACATATCAAATACATTTTTGCTTGTGCATTTGCTTGATTTCTTATTTACCTTTTTAGACATTTGTAGATTATGGATTTAGGAAGATCAGAAGATAGAAGAAAAATCCCTCATATTAAAAAAAAGAGTATATTATGTATAAAACATAATCAGTATAGGTCTTTTCTTGATTGTATTTTAAAACAATGTCTTTATTACTACACTTAATTACCACAGATTCCATAGACTCCACAGCCAAGAGGTGTGTTCTGACCCCCTGTCCAAATGCAGATCCCTCTAAGGCTTCCTTTTACATGGCAGCCCTTCACAGCCTGTACCATGTAAACAAGGGGATGAAGGAGAACTATTTGTGAGTCTTGCCAGGTTGGAGTAGTGGATGGTGGGTTGGTTGCTGAATACTCCAAACATCAGAATGCTTTTGAAGCCAAAGGAAAAATTAGATTCATTGCATTTTTTTTTTTAATCACAGGACGGAAAACTGATCATATGGGCAGGGGAAATACTATCCCTGTGGTCTACATATTATCTCAGCGTAAGATTGTAATTGCTGCTAAACCCCTTTGGAGAAAAACTCCCCTGTCGTGCTGAGGTTAGGACTGTGTTGTGTTTTCTCAGCCTTACTTTTTGGTCTCTCTTTGAAAACAGCTATGGCTGTTTTAAACACTGATACATTATTATAAAAGAAGAAAGTGATAAAAAAAAAAACCCCACATAATGGGTTATGGGAGCTCAGAAAGCAGAGGTTAATTCAGAATCTTATGATTAAGGGGAAATATTTCACTATTTTTCCTGAAAATTTTTCCCTTGTTAAATCTCTAACAATGTGATTTCTAAAAGAATGTGGATAGTAATATAACCTGAAACTCTGCTTCTTTTATATGTAAATGTACCGCAATATGCTTTGTGTTGATCATTCCCCAAAGGTGAAATTCATTATCTTGCTCTCTTTACATGATTTCCTATGTAGTCTGACAGTTACAGAGAGAAATAGCCATATATAAGTGGGTCAAAGCATGGATTTAAAAAAGCCAGGAGAAAGAAGAAGTGATTTACTGGGTCTGACACCCTGTTTACCATTTCAGGATCAAACCAATACCAGATTCCTAGGACATAGTAGGGAGTCCAGCAAACGGTAAATGAAGTGGCAAATGCAACCGTCATCTTTAGGGTCTTCAGCCGAGCTCGTGGTACATTGTTCTTGGATTGATTCAGTTGTAGTCCTTTTAGATAGAGAAAAGAGGAGGTGTTAAGTGACTGGTTTTATTACAAAGCCAAAATAGACAAAATAGGAAGACAAAATCACTAATTCAACCTAATGAATACAATGGAAGCAAATTTCTAGTATTTTTAATAATGATAATTTGAAAAGCATGTTTGTTTATATTTCAAGATTTCTACTATGTTACATAATAAGTGGAAACTACTAAAGGTAGTAATGCTCTTAAAATTAAATTTCCACTAAACTAATACAGATTTGAAATATGAGGTTACTCAAATTCTTAAATAAATTATATAAATTTGAGAGAGCAGACTGAGGTTGAGCTGGGTTGAATTCCCTATCTTTTGGTTGTCAAGCCAACAGAACCATGTACACTTTATAAATTTTCCTTTTTGAGAATGTACCAGATTCTTGAAACAAAGAAGGCACAATCACGTCTGTGAAGTTAAAAATGAAATAGTCAATGACATTCAATAATATTTCCCACACCCAACACACATACACACACAGCACACACAAGTGTGCAGTGTGTGGATACTATGTGCATCAAGTGCTCTAAGGCCTGTATTCACAAATGTATGTGGGCAAAAATTGACTTCCTCAAGGTGCTGAACTGTGCACGCCCAGATGCCAAGAAAAAAAAAACAATCAAGGGGAAGACATTTATATCCTGCTAACTCTTGGGAACAGGAAGAAGCAGCAGCTGGCAGCTGAAGGCTGGAACACTTGCTACTGTATAATCGTAGCTTCTAATGTTGCACCCCTTCAGATTCTTAAGGGATTCTCAGTTTTGGTTCCATTTTGTACATGTTTGGAAAATAATCTGCAAAAACAGGCTGTGCTTGTGAGGACTTCATGGTTCTCAAGAATTTTTTAAAAGAGGAAAAAAGAAGAATTAAAAATAATCCACATTGTGTAGATACAGGGGATTTGAATGTGAAACAGAACAGCTTAACTTTAACAAGTCTGTTGACTACCATTTAACGAGTTGTACTTTGCTATATTCTAGATATCAGGTGTTTGCTGTAGTGTTGCAATGGCCCAGTGGGAACAATTTGCCAATGCTTACACTGCCTAAATGGAATAAATGTCGTTTCATCTTTAATTCCATGATATAAATTTTAGAATATTAGAAGATACTAAATTTTCTCCTCTGTAAATTGGGGATAATAAAAGTATTGCCTTATGGGGGTGACTGTGAATATTAAATGGGTTAATATAGGTAAACTACTTAGAACAATGTCTAGCACATAGTTAAGTACTACTCTGCTTTGGGTTGCTTTAGAAAGCTGTTTACCCACAGTTAACAGCTAGTCCAAGGAATACATACTGTGGGGATCCTGATGAAGGACGCTTGTCAGGGTGAAGATGATTTTTGCATTGCAGACCAACATGATGAGAAGAGGGATGATGAAGAGGCAGCTGAAGGTGAAAAAGTTATAAAAGGCTTCATGCCACCATTGTGGAAAACTGCAGTGTGTTACACATTGAGAGAAACCGTCTGTCTGTCCAGAGCTGTCTGCTAAATGGATCATCCTGAAGATATATAACTGTATGAGAAAATTTTAAAAAAAAAATTTAAAAGGGAGATTGCTTATTTTCAAACAGCATTTGAAAGTTTTCTTGAAAGTTTTCTCCTCTGTGTTCTGCTAGCCTTCTAACATTACCCAAAGCAACTTCTAAGCTTCTTGAAAATATCCTTTTGGCATCTCTACAAAAAGTTTTAAGTGGATCTTTACTTAAAATGTGTTTGGGTAATGTGAATGGATCTGTAGGATTTTGAATTTCTTTGGAAATTATTTCAACCTTGCAGAACAGTCATCAAAGATTTAAACCTTGTTTGTATTTCCATATCTTGATGGAATTATGCTGAGGAAACTTTTCGCAAATGATTTTGTGATTTCATTGTTTTATCTATGGCACATAAATCTGTGTCTGGCATTTAGGATGTGCCCTCAAAGTACATATTTTTTTAAACTTTATTTTTGAGACATAAAACCCCATTAAAAAGGTCAAAAGACATGAACAGACAGTTCACAAAGAAAAGATGTAACAGTGGCCCTTAAGCATATGAAAAGATGTTCAACCTCACTCATTATAAGAGTGATGCCAAGCAATTAAGGCTACACTGATATGCTATTTTTTACTATCAAAATTAGCAAATTAAAAAACAAAATAGCACACTCTCATGGCAAGGTTGTGGGGAAACATGGACTCTCATACACTGCTAATGGGAATGCAAATTGGTAAACCATTAAGAGGGGTAATTTAGCAATAACTTGACAATAACAAACTAACGAATGCATTTATCTTTGACCTAGCAATCTGACAGTCAGGGATTTACCCTGAAGATACACCCCTGCCTCTATTATATGAAAACAGGTATGCACAGGATTATTCATTGATGCATTATTTGTAATTGAAAAACATTGAAAATAATCTACATATAAATTAATGAGACAGTAGCTGAAAAAACTGGTAGACCATACCATAAACTGCTATACAGCTGTAAAAAAAGAGTAAGGAAAATCTCTATGTGTGAGTGTGAGAGTGTGTGTGTGTGTGTACATGTACATATATTTATTTTCCAGCTCTGTCTGCAGAGACAGCCTAGGAACAATGACAACCCAGTAGCAATGAGCACACCCAGCGCTCTAGTACACAGGTTTTGTTTTCCAAACGTCATTCTCTACCAAAAGGAACTCATTGGAATAGTAGGTGGTCCTACAGCAAGGGCAAGCAAAGTACAACACGTGCCTGGAACAGTTTGTTATGCCAAAGAGTCAGGAAATGCCCAAAGAGTAATGGAGCATGTGAAAAGAGTTCAGGAGCCAGTTTGAAAGAGCTCCCATTGGCCAAATCTGGGACAGTTTAAGCATGAAAAACAAAACCAAACTCTGATAGAAGAGAGTGATAAGCTACTGAATAAAGAAAGAATTCGTGACTCCATGCTGATATAAATTACAAAACATCAAGAAATGGGGAGAGGAAAAAGCTCTTTGTTGCTATTGAAAGTCAACTAACCAATCTAAAAGGTATAATGGAAGTAGTGATTACCATTTCTTAATCACGATAAAAATAATTGATTCAGGCAAGAGCCATCAATAGATAGTAAAAATATGGGTATAAATTTGAGAATAGTTTATTTACATCACCTCAAAGTATCTACCTGCAGGATATTTATGACTCCAAAGAATAAAATAATAACTTTACAGTAGAGAAATAACCTAATAATTAAATTAACATTGCCAGTAATGGAACCAATCGGCAGTTTTTGCTTCTTTATATAAGGCATTGAGAATTCAGCATCACCTCTTTAGTGTTTCTGCCGAAACTAGCCATGAAAAAACATCAGACAAACTCAAATTTAGGGGCATTCTACAGAATAACTGACCTGAACTCTTCAAAAATGTCAATGTCATGAAATACAAAGATGGACCAAGGAACAATTGCAGTTTAAAGCAGACTGAATCGACAGCATAATGCTGGATTTTCTTTTGTTAAAAGGGACATTATTGATATGACTGGTGAGATATGAGTAAGGTACATAGATTAAATAATAGTACTGCATTAGTGCTAATTTCCTGATTTTGGTACTTAACTGTGGTTATGTGCTAGAAAGAACACACTGAGGTATTGAAAGGGGAATCATGTCTGAACTTATTTTTCAACAATCCAGAAAAAATACACATAAAACATAATAAAGTGAATAAGCAAATGTGATAAAATGTTAATATTCAGGGAAACTGAGAGAAAGGTATCCTAGAAATCTTTGTCAGATTCTTGTAGACTTTCTCTAAGGGTGAAATCATGTTAAAAAAAAGAGAACAAATTGGGTCAACTGCTATGGAAACATTGCAAGTAGTTTTCAAAAACAAGGTCTAGTTGACATTTATTTATTCCTTCCCCATTGGTCAAGCATTCTTCTTTCCTTGTCCTTTCCAAGATTTTCTACTGAAAAACCTCATTTACCATGAAATATTATTAAAATGAAAAGATAAGAGTGCCCAAGCACCAATTAACCCATAGCAAGTTAATTCAAAGACAAGTGTTACAGGATTTTAAAATTTTTAAGCAAATGCAGGAAGTAGTTTTTTAAGTTTTCGATTGTATTAGTAAATTTAAATGGCATTTAATTAATTTAATAAGCCCAGAATTTCTTTCCTTTTTGGGGTGATGGAGTAAGACTAGACTGTGCCTTTAAAAAAGTAGTTTTTCCTTTCTTTGCTTGTAGAGTAGAAAAAATTTAATGAAGTATAATATATAACTATAATAAAGTAAACACAAATGTAATAGAATATAAGTAAATATAGTATAAAGTGTAATTATATTTCTTTTTGGGGAGTGTTTGGGGAGGGAGGGAGGTAGATTTATTTATTTTTAAAATTTATTTATTTATTTCTAGTGGAGGTACTGGGGATTGAACCCAGGACCTTGTGCATACTAAGCATGCACTCTACCAGTGAGCTATACCCTCCCCCTTATTTCTTTTATTTGTAATTAAAATGTTGATTTTCAGTTTCAGATCTTTTTTCAGCTTCAAGGGCAAAAAAAAGAATTTGTAAATCATTCCACTAGAGGGCGCCCAATGATCATATTATCAATCTTAAAATCAAGAAACTCAGACATGCGTTCAGCAAATTCTATTTTATGATCCAGACCAACTTTTTTCACATTACAAAGTGACCTTTTCAGTTTTCCATCCTTCTCTGAAACGTGACTTTATTTAAAGTTCAGTTGTGAATTTTACCCAACAGATGATGTGATTTGAAGTCTCTGGAAGGGTTCCTTCACATAGAACCTGAGAATCTTACATTTCTAAATATCTTTCCTTTTCTCCCCACCACCTGACACAGGCTTGGAACCAGATGACCTGAGTTTGACTTTATGCTTTGCACTGGGTCACATTTTCACTTCAATATTTCATGTTTTTAAGTTATAAATGATGAAACTTTTAATAAAAGTGACTGAAATATAGTAGTATGATTCGATTTTGGTTATCATCTTTATTTAACAAATGCTTATTTTTAAAGCAACTACTTGGTTAAAAAATATACTAGGTGCTTTTTGTTATAAAAGATGAACCAGATATACCTTCTATCAGGGAATTAAATATTTGGTAGGGGAGATGTAGAATATATGTAACACCTATATTAGATTGGTAACTTCTAAAAGAGAGGTATAGAATAGTGTTAGGAAATTCAGAATCTTACTTGCCCATAAACTAATTTATTTTAGCCTTAATTCAGTTTATTTTTCACCTCCAAGGCCATGTTTGTCTGAATGATTACTACAGGGATCCACTTTACTTCCAGTGGCTTTTTTGTCCTTGGATTATATTTCTTTAATTTCTTTATGTTTCTCTTCTCTCGTGCCTGACCCCAGTTCTCATCACCATTTGCTTTATTTTGCCATAAACAATAGCAATTCATTTTCCATCTTTACAGTCAATTGCAGATGCTATTCCTTCTTCTCATATTATTTTTAACCCCCGCAGTAATGACACCATGACCTAATATTTTCCAACGGTGATTATCTTTAGATGATGTGCTTCAGGTTTCTCTCATCTGTGAAATGGAGATATTAATAGTATCTTCCTGTAGGGGCTGTCGTGACAATTAAACACAAGTAAATACTTGCAAAGCACTGAGAGTGGTACCTGGCACACAGTTAGCACTATATAAATCATAACCATTATTATAATAAAAATTTTGAGGCACATAACTTATAAATATGTATCATATATACTTATTTCTATATTCATACATGTATACCATATATTTTTCCTGATATCCCTTAACTACCTATTTTCACCTTAAGATATTCTTGCCTCTTCCTTCTCCAGCTTCCTACAGGAAAAAAGGAAATAGACACTCTTGCATAGTGGGATGCGGTGTAGTGGTTACAAGCTTTTGCATAACTGGATGTACTGACACCTTCACTTACTAGATGGTAATCTTGAGCGTTATATAGTATTCTTAACCTTAGTTTCTTCATGAATAAAATAAAGACAATAATTGTATCTAAATTATTGTTGGGAGCCTTGCATGAAATAATGAACACAAAAGCATTTAGCACAGTTCCTGGCACGTATTTATGTACTCAATAACTATTATTTATCATCATCTTATTATTATTGCTGTATCTGCTACTGGTATGCCATTATTATGTTCCAGTCCCATTCTTGGCATATTGTACACTTGTGATTTTACTGAACTTAGGCTACTTATCAAGTTCAGAAGTACATTCTAGCTCTGTAAGTTCTGTAACAGGCAAGCCTCCTCATTTCTTCAAACCACACATCTTTACATCAAAGACTAACGGATTTGCTCAGATACAACAAGCCCTCCATATCGGCAGGTTCCACACCTGCAGATTCAATCAAATGCGGATGGGAAAATACTCAGACAAAAAATTTTTGGAAGTTCCAAAAAGCAAAACATGAATTTGCCAAGATCCAGTAACTATTTATATAACATCTACATTGTATTTACAATTATTTACATACCATTTACATTGTATTAGGTATTAAAAGTAATCTAGAGATGAT